CAGGGTGTGGGGGCTGCACCCCATAGACGAGCTCTCCAACTGGGGTCCACAGGGTTCACCCAGCCTAGTTCTGCTGAAAGCAACCAGCTCACCCCTCTCCCACAGCCTGTGCACCTACACTTGCTCTTTTGGGTCTCAGCCTCTGGGTCTTTGCTTTTCCCTCCAGGGCTCCGCTGGCTGAGGCATTGAACACACCCGTGTTCCCCTTGCCCAAGCAGACCAGGCGCCCTCCTGCTTTCCTTTCCAAGAGAGACCTCATGTTGATAGTAGAACTCGTGGAGAACTGGAGAGCTTCCTGTGTGGGCCTTCACAGAGGCGATCCAGCACTTGTGTGACTTCCTCTACCTCGAGCCTGGAAGATGGCAGTGTGAGGGCCAGGGCTACAAGGTGGACAGGGTGGCTCAGCTGGGTGTCAGGGAGATGTGTTTTCAGTGCCATAAAAACCAGGGAGTGAGTGACTTCCTCCTAACCTCTCTGGGAAATCTGAGCAGTAGGTCCTGGGCTTCCAGAAAGAGAGCAGATCCTCCTGTCCTCTCTCCACTGCGCGAGTAGCACCCCACCTCCAAACTCTGCTCAAAATGTACTGTTCCCCAGGGGTTTGGAGGTAGCTTTATTTCTTGGGACCCTCTGGTTAGCCCAGTGACCCCCTGGCTATTACCCACACCAGGCCTTGCCTCTCCCCTTATCCCGCTGGATTTATCCTTTCCCTTTGTCCTGACAGGTAATTCTGACCACTCTTGCAGGGTCAGCTTCCACCAAGGCTGAACTCACAGGCTGCTCTGCTTCAGCAAGAGGGCTTTGGTTTGCACACTGGGCACCCAAAGCCAGAACAAGATGGGAAGTGCAGTTGGTCACAGTGCAGATCAGGGTGACCCTTAAGTGTTTCTAGGCTCCTAACAGGTCCTGTTATTAAGAGAGGTGTGACTTGGCTTCTGCCCTGAGCACTTACTGTTCTGCCGCCTCCTGTAGTAACACCTGGCAGATCTTCCCATCTTCAGGCTGCTTAAAGAGGAAGAAGGGGAAGCTCTTGGGAAAATAAAAATTACACTACTGCCTCTGGCATCTTCCCAGAACACAAGGAAAGTAAGTTAGGAAGCGCCATGACTGCCTTCCTCTATGGAAATGCTTTCAGACACATGAAAGTCACAGTCCTGGTCAGTTAAAGTGCTTTTCAGTGGAACTCAGTCAATTTTATCATGCCCCTCTCCTACCTGCACCTTTGTCCCATTTTGACCCCTGACTTTCTCAGTGAGAGAGTAGATGAAGCAAAATTTGTAAAAAATTGCAATTTCTAGATCAGCTGCATAATGTATGTGTACTATATTTTAGTTCTCTGATGGGTAAACATTTAGATTTCTATTTTAACTTTTTGAAATATAGTTATGAAGAGCATTTTAGTATGTTACATTGTATACTTGTGTGCCTGTTATTAACGCATAGGGTCCTGAAGTGTAAATTCCTGGCAAAAAGGTATAAGCTCTTTGTGTTTGAAGTGCTAGGGGTTGAACCCAAGTCTAGATCTGGCAAAGTGTTCTACCACTGAAGCACAGAGTGATGTCTCAGAAGAGGGCCAGGCGCCACCGCTACTTCTGGTGCCAGGACAACTTGGAGAAGTGGGAGCTGCACTGCAAGTCCTCTGCCCTGGGGACCGGCTCTCCGCTGCCTGCTTCCATGGCCGACAGCCCAGGCCCGAAGTCCACTGTGCCGCTGCCTTGGACCTCAGTGGCCAGTGGGCAGAGCCAACGGCAGCCATCTCCATGCCCTCCATCTCCAGCACCTGCAGGGATCCTGCTGCACCCAGCTCGGCTGCCATGGCTGCCACTGCACCCTCCATCTTGCACCACCTTTCAGGCTAAATTTTTCACTCTTTGAGCATGAACAAACTTGAAAATGTGGAAAGAATCAGAAGAACTGGTGAATTAATGAAAAGTCATGAGTATTATATGTATACGTATGCATACATATACTAAAATTGGAATGATAGATTAGCATGCGTGAAAATGGCTAGTTCAAATTGAGATAATTCTATTGTAGTGCAAAATAAATGCTATATTTCAATTAGCTCAAAAACGGGAATGTAAAATATGAACGATGTTTATAGTGACTATGTGTTAGAATGATACTATTTGGCTATACTACATTAAATAAGATATTATTAAAAATAATTTAACAGGGGCCAGGGATTTAGCTCAGTGGTTCTGGCTCTAGCCTGGCAAGCGCAAGGTCCTGAGTTCGATCCCCGGTACTAAAATAATAATAATAATGATGATGATGATGATGATGATGATGATGATGATGATGATGATTTTATATTAGCTTGGCATGGGAGTGCAAGCCTGAAATCCCAATATTGAAAGGCTGAGGTGAGAGGATCACAAATGCAAGCCAGCCTGGGCAACTTAGTGAGACTTCTGTTTCAAAAAAAGGGCCAGGAGTGCAGCTTAGTGCAAAGGCCCTGGGTTCAATCTTTAGTACTACAAAACAAACAAACAAGCACACTTTAATCTTTCAGAGATGTTTCATGAGTTGCTGACAAGGAACAAAGAAGGGTTTTTCTACCATGACAAAAAAAGGCATACATACGAAGTAGGGGTCAGGGAAACACCCTTAACTAAAATGTAGCAAGGTCATCTAAACCTCCTGATGAAGCAAGGCCCTGGCTACTTAAATGTTATTAAAGGCCGAAGAAAGCTAGATTCATGGATTTAAATTATTAAAATTCAACTATATGGCAAAATTAAAGAGTACTTTGGATTTTCTTAAGAGCGGTAGGGCTGGGATTTAGCTTAGTGGTGTGGCACTTGCAGTGCAAGAACAAGGTCCTGAGTTCGATCCCTGTAGGGGGGTGGGGGGACGGGACACTGCAGGCTGGGGATTTAGCTCAGTGGCACTATGCCTGCCTCACAAGCATAACGTCATGAGTTCGATCCCCAGTACAAGAGTAGTATCACTTTATAATTTATGTGATATGTTGAACACAGATAAGAAGATTACAAAACCACTCAGGGAATCCTGAATTGGCAGTCACCTAATTATAACATGTGAAAGCTTATGGGTGTTTTGCTTTCTTGGTAGAGGGTGACGTAAAAATTTAATAATACTCTTGGGCTGGGGATTTAACTCAGTGGCACTGAGCCTGCCTCACAAGCTCAAGGTCCTGAGTTTGATCCCCAGTACCAAAAAAAAAATTCATAACACTCTGCTCTTTTAAATCCTTTTTTTGCCTTGAATTCTCTTTTGTCTGATATTATTTTCCCATTGTTTCACTTTGTGTTAGTGGTTAACTGGCACCATTCTTTCTCCAAGCTAACTTAAACAGACTGATAAAATCCTGTATTGAGAACTTAGGTAAAAGGACACTGCCAGATACTATTGGTAAGAATGTAAATTGTTTCACCTTGTTGGAATTTAGATTAAATTGTAATTTATTAAATTATGTAAATATTAAAAATTTTAAATATAGACACCCTTTGATGTAGAAATTCTACTTTTTAAGTATCTTACTAAATCATGCACAGTACTCAACAAATCTATATAAAGATTTTCATTACTCTATTGTTTGTGATCATGAAAAATTTTTACACTGTAGTATCCATATTTTCTAGTTTCTATATTGATGCTTTAATCACTCTTCCTCTTTCCATCACCTCCAGCCCAGGGAGCTGCAGCCCCCAGTTGGCCAAGCCATCATGGAGATTATGAGGGCAGAGTGGGTACTCTCCAGGGTGCTGTGTTATCACCTATGATGTTCACTAGGTTACTGTACTGAATACATCTTGACTTACAGTATTTTCAATTTATGATGGATTTTGGGGGGTGTAAGCCCAACAAAATGGAGGAACATCTTTACCAAATTGGACAAAGACTAGTAAATTGTGAAAACAGGACCAGACAGAGGGGCTTGGACCAGGGTGGGCAGTTGAGTAGAGAAGGGACGAGGGAGATGAGGGTTAGTTGAATAAGGCATATTTGTATGGAATTCTCACTCTGACTTCCTATCCTCAGTAAGAACATCGCTCTTCCTCTGGTATAGGGAGAACACCTCCCATGTGGAGTTTTTCTCTCCTGCATTCAGGAACAGAACAGGGAGGGCCAGAGCAACGTTTTTGTACCTGCTGTTTTTTAAAAAAGTGTCTTAGATGTAATGAATCCTTATCACAAAGTGGTGCATTTTGGGCCATGTTCTGAACTTCTTTTGAACACAGTTGGAGTTCAGGAGAAAAGAGAATGTAGAAAAACAAATCTTACCTATCTCAGCATTTTCTAAAACTGAATCAAACACATGCATTTGATACTTCCAAAGCACAACAAATCTCAAGCAGGCAAAATAAAAGCAAACCTCTATCTAGTCACACCATAGTAAAACTACACAACGCAAGTATCTAGGAGTCTTCCAGAGACTAGGATTCCTTCTATCCCTTTCCTGCTGATAAGCCCTCCATGGCTTGGCAACTCTCCACTTTTCCATCTAGTGACCATGGTCTACTTTCAAGAAAACAAGAACAGAATGACACTAATGGGTACAAATGTCTAGTCTCACCCTCAGTGATATATCTGGCATGAGTAAACTACTTTTGACAGTTGATTTTAGAAGGGCATTGGATAATGGAAACTGAATAATGTTTGTCCAACACTGTCCATGAAGAAACATGAAGATTCTGGGCCACTAGGTAGGTATGCAGTACAGGGCATTAGAGGGATGCTCTGTCCTGGTATCACTTCCTTCTGGAGACTCATGTTCCTTCCACCTGTTGGAACACTGACCAAGAAACAGCCCCTCAGAACTCCTCTGTTAATGCTTTCAGCTTTCTGACTTCATCCTCAAAAAAGTTTCATTCATATACCTGTGAAATACAAATCTAACTCTACAAAGCCGGTGCACACTCGCTGGAATCCTCTCACATATCATATGACATCTAGGAGAGCTGCTTCTTGGGCCAGCTTTCAGAACCACTTAACTTCAGGGGAGAAAATGAGTAGAGAGAACACAACACCAAGGATCCTGGGGGAAAAGTTTATTCTCCTTGCCAACATTTTTCTTGACATTTTATTGAGCAATAAGTGAGAATAAGAGATCATTTGGTTTCTTATTACTTTCAAAAAGCAGTAAGAGCGCCGGGGATTTAGCTCAGTGGTTCCACCGCCTGCCTCACAAGCACAAGGTCCTGAGTTCGATCCCCAGTACCCCGCCCCCCCAAAAAAAGCAGTAAGAAAAATATCTATTTAGAAAAAAGGTCCACTGTTATTTTTTAGACATTAGACTCATTATACAAAGTGAAAATCCCACCACATGAAAATACATGATCGAAGGTCACCCCTGAGCAGCTCTATTCAGATGAGAGTTCTCCATCCTATTGTTTTTTCAGTAGAAGCCTTTTCTTTCCTCCCCGACCTCCCACCCCCACCCCTATGATGCATGATAGGCAAGTGCCCTGTGCATGCCAGGCAAGTGCTCTGTCTATGAGCTACATGCCCAGCCCTAGAAGAAGTTTTTGTTGGGCTCATCTGAAAGTACTTCACAAAGAACAAAGAAGCCTTTCCAGCTCTTTGTTTAAATGGATAGGCAGAGATAGAACAAGAGAATCACAAGAAGCTAAGAAGAAAGTCAAAAAATATAGTCTGACCTCTAAGACCAATGATCTTTGAGTTGTTCACACCAGGGTGGATATTTCATGAGGATCAAGGTAACCAGGAAGGGAGGAAAGTGCAAGACACGCCTGTTACCCACTTCCGAAGATGTGCTCCAGAGTTCCCTTCCCCACTCAGCACAGGTGAGAGGAGCCTGAGGAAGGAGCTTATATTGTTCGTAAGATACCATACTTCCACTTTGTCTCATTTTTTAAAGTGCAGCTGTTGAAGAATTTCATTAAAAACAAATCACCTAAGGGAACAAAAAATAAATGAATTTAATCTGAACAGAGAATTTTAACATTCCCACAGAGAACAGCCAGGTCTGAAAACTCTATAAGACCCTTGCCATATGATGGTGCTGCCCAGAGGGTCTGACTTCAGGGACAGCAAGATGGACACTCCTGCTTTTTTCTCATGGCTTGCCCCTCACTGTGGGCTCACCAGCACCTGAAAGAAATTCTCTAAGTGTCCTTGCCTTCAGAATTTGTCTTTTGATGCCACAAAGGTGCTAGTCCTCATTATGCGGACACAGGAGTCTTTCCTGTACTTACTCCTCCAGGACAGGAAGGATAACAGCCTGCCTAATAGCAGAGCTTATTAAGGGGCAAAGGGCACTGGAAGATTCTAGTCTCATACAAACAATGCAAAATAAAATGCTACTTAATGATGACAATCATGCCAAATGCTTGTCAGAATATACATGTATATAAATTTTAAGGAGGCTATTGTCTTCTGTAAGAAACACCAGCACACCTCACCTCATGCCACCCCTGCCCAGACAACAATTCTGGCCAATCTTTCACACTGTGGGCAAATCCTCTTCTGCTTACTTACTTCAGCTCAGGCTTCTGATCCTAGTCATGTACTTGTCTGGGGTGGCAGCACTCATTACAGTGGTATAAACTGTAAAACTGAAAACAAGAGGAATTTCTATATGTACATATGCATAATTCCCCCTCCACATTTCAAAAGAAGGCAGATGTGTCTAGGCCGTCCCGAACACCTGGGTTTTAGGACAAGAATACAGATAGAGGCCCATGAAAATGTTTACAATGTGTAAATCATGAAGTCAGAGCGTCCTCTGACAACACTGTGGAGGCCAATTTGCAATTTCAGATTCTCAGATTCCTCCCAGCTCTGTGCTGCAGCAGTGAGAGCCAGCCTAGCTCGCATTTTGACTCTGGCCTTCGTCCTTTAGCCCCTCATCAGGACAGGATGACCACAGTGGCTGGCCCCGCCATCAGGAGTCCATGCAGGGGAGAGCACTGTGTTCAGGCTGAGGTCCTGAGTCCTTGGGCCAAACTCTCCTATCGGGAAGGTAGGGGCTAGAAGGCTGGAGGCTCACATGTCCCCTGGCCAGGTCTAAGGATGACAAGCACAATGTCACTTATTCCACACTCTGATAGGAAGAGACACAAGTAACCTGAGCACATGTATACACACACACACATACACACACACACAATTTAACTTGCCCGCACTCCTGCTCCCCTCCTGTTTTGGGAATGGAGGTAGGGATGCTGAAGCACTGGGAGCCATGGTGCTGAGAGTAGGCAGAACTGGCTGAAACAGCACTGTGAGTAGCATGGAGCTCTCCTCCTATTCTAAGGTTTTCTCTGCTGAAGGCCACAGGACTGAGCTCTTGCGGGGGTGTGAGTTTGAAGCCCAGCACAAGGGGGCAGCATGGAACCGAGCTTCTGTGTGCAGACAGCTCAGTTAACCTCACAGCCACTGTCTTCCTTGGGCTCATCATCACCGGGGAAGGCCAGAGAGTCAGGGCTGTGTATATACCTGGCTCTATGGTCATTGTCATTTAAATGCCATTTCTCTTGGATTTTCAGTCATACAACAGAGAAAAATGCTACTCAGTAAACTGACATAACCTCTAACAATTTTACTTTGCAAAACATTGCAGAAGCTATTGAAATATTCATAACCTTTCATTCAGTAATCCTACTTCTGGGAATTCCGCAAATGAAAAAACAATCCAAACTGGGAGTGAAGTTGAACAAATAAGTTTATTTCAAAGTAGTCTTTTCATTTGGTTTTTGATTTTGTTTTGTTGTTTGTGGGGGGGTTGTTTTGGTTTATTGGTTTTTTTGGGTTTCTTTTTTTTTTTTTTTGCAGCAATGGGATTGAATCAAAGTCTCAGGCACACATGCTAGGCAAGACTGTACCAATGAGTGACACCCCAGCCCCAAGCTCGGAGTTGAATGGAGGAAAAGCTAACCAGTGGAGAATACTTACTTAAAATACATCTAAAGCCATTATGGAGCCATTTAAAATTAGGAGGAATATTCAAAGCATAGAAAATGATTTACTTTATTAAAATAAATATAACTACTTCATTATAAAACTAGTGTTTATAAAATATAATCATCACTCATGTAATTATAAACTATCAGAACCCAAAGATAGCATTTTAGTGCCTACTTTAAAAATAATTATCAGGGCAAAATAGTGCCCCAGTGGAGGGACAAAGCCAGCCATGTGTTGGCACTGCTGGCTCCTAGAGGCCCATAAAAGGCAACTGTTAAATACGCAGAAGTCTGTAAGCCACTTGGAAGCTTGAAATCAGCCATAGTGGGAGTATGGGTTGAGCATCCCTAATCCAAAAATCTAAAAATATAAACTGCTCCAAAATTCATACTTTTGAGTTTCATGTTGGCAAAATGTTTTGGATTTCAGACCGCTCTTTTGGATTAGAGATGTTCAACTGTAAAGTCTATGCAAATATTCCAAAAATGAAAAAACTCTGGAATCTTTAAAAACTTCTGTTCCCAAGCATGCAGGATACAAGATATTCAACTTGTATTTTACAACATGGAAACCCACAAATACATATCATGGAGTTTTCCTTCCTGCCCCAAAGAGCTAATTTATTATAGATCACTGGGAATGATTCATTATTCAGATAGCTCATTTGTTCTTAGAATATTCATTTTTTAAATGACACTTCTAAAACTACCTTTGTTTTCTTACAGTTTTAAAGTAATTATGTGATAACTATATTTTAAATTTTTTTATAATACATTTATTTGCCTGGTATGGGGTGCATGCCACAGCATGCTAATGCTGTGCTAATCCTAGCACCCTGGAGGCTGAGGCAGGAGGATCCAAAGGGTGAGCCCAGTCTGGGTGACTTAGCAAGAACCTGTCACCAAAAAGGGGAAGAGGGCTGGGGATGTAGCTGTGTTAGGACCTTGGGCTTAGTCCCCAGTACTGCAAAAAGAGCGGTGGAGAAATACTAATAGCATACTGACTGTAATAAGTAGGGGGAAGGAGTTCCCTTGGGAAGCCAAGGAGAAAGAAAAGTGATACAAGATCAGTGTGACAGAAGCCATGAAGGCGTCATCGCCAGTGAGGCTGTCACAGCACCACAATGATGGAACTTATCAGTGCCCTCTGCCTCCAATCCCTGTTGCTTTGGCCTTTGGTTTCCTTCACGAGCTTCTCACCTGACTTGTGAATGGTATGTACATCTCCTCCCCACCCCAGCCCACACGGCAGAGACATTGTTTATTCACTGACAACCCATGGCCCTACAACACCTGGTCACAGCAGCCCTCATAACTGATGAGCCAGAGCGTGTGAGGTCACCATCCTGTGATGACAACTGAACAGATGTGCTTGACATGTCACTTACTTGTTATAAACTGGAACCACTGATAAAACCTGAGTAGGAAAAATCATATTAAAAGAATATTAAAAGGTGGATGAAATACATAGGATGACTATAACCACTTCATACTTTAGTGTATCTTGGGGTAATCACTGCAGACTTTTTAATCTTTGGATTTTTGGGGGGGCCACTTAGGATAGAACCCAGAGCCTTTGTATTGAGCTTTATCCTCAGCCCTTTTTGTATTCTGAGATGGGGTCTCACTAAATAACCAAGGCTGGGCTCAAACTTTCAATCCTCCTGCCTCAGTCTCCCAGAGTGCCAGGACTTTGAGAGAGGTTGGTATAGCCCAGCCTTGAACTCAATCCTCCTGCCCCAGCCTTCTGAGTGCTGGGATTATAGGCATGCACCACCACTCCCAGCTGCTCTTTGTTTTTAAAAAACAATGAGCATATATTCAACTGTGCCTCTTTCTTTTTTTTTTTTTTGGTACCAGGGATCGAACTCAGGACCTTGCACTTGCAAGGCAGGCGGCAGAACCACTGAGCTAAATCCCCACCTCTGCCTATTTCTTTTTAACATGAATAAAAACTTAGGGGGCCGGGGATTTAGCTCAGTGGTTCTGCCACCTGCCTCGCAAGCACAAGGTTCTGAGTTTGATCCCTGGTACAAAAAAAAAAAAAAACTTAGGTGGGGACAGAGATGGATACTTTTTCCTATACGAAAACAAGTTCAGAAAATATTGTGGCATTTAAAAAAGTACTTTTGACTACACAGAACTTTTTTCTTTTTTTTGTACTGGGGATTGAACTTGGGACCTTGTGCTTGTAAGGCAGGCAGCGGAACCACTGAGCTAAATCCCCAGTCCTACGTAGAACTTTTTAATGTAACATTTTCATCCACACATTTCTTTGACTTTAGAGGAGAATTTTCTTCATCGCTATTAACTAAGACACAAGTATCCTGGAGAAGTTGGACAACACAACACAACTCACCTGGAAAAGTGCCTCCAGACTGAGGTTTGCCTGCCCTGTGGCATTTAGAGCTTTGATAGCAGGTGTTCTGTGGAGACAACAGTCAAAGGTCACTAGGCACAGCTGAATCCTCTTAGCTGCTGTGTGGAAGGCACAATGCAAGGTCCCTTCTCCCCTTCCTCAAAAGACTCTGGCTTTCAAGCATGACCTGTCTCAGCTAGGACTGCCCCAGTGGGATTCACTCGACAGCTGGCTTGGCCCCATGTGCTCCCGAAGGCTGGGACAGTTGCTGCAGAATTGAATCTGCCACCACACCCATGAGGCAAAAGCCAAGTGAGGTACACAGTCACCTTCTCTTTAGGGACACACTGGCTAATGGAATTTTCACAATTAGAAGGAAAAATGAAAGCCTTGGACTGGTTTGTTTAAGGGAAATATTTCCCTCCCAAAAGTCTTACATAGAAGCCTCTGAATCTGGCCTCTCCTTTCATGTTGCAAGTGGGTGAAGAGAGGCCCCAGGGGCCTCACAGTGAGTCACAGAGGGCCAGTGGTGGAATCCCCCACCTCTGGGCTCCTGACCCTAAGGCCAGGGCCAACATGATCCAACTCCCACCAACCTCCCCACCGCCATCTTCCACCTCATACACTCCCCTCCCCCATAATTCAGGCACTGCCGTGGGGGTGAGGAGCTGTTTCTGGAAGAGGACAGCACCTGGAGGTCTCTCTATTTCCTGAGGTAAGAGGGGACAGGTTCCTGACCACAAGAAAACTTTGCAAACCAGAAAGTGTACAGAAGTCTACCTTCGGTCATCTGTCTTAGGCACTGGCTTCCAGTGGTCATAATTTGTCTCAACTCGGAACCACCTGCAACACAGCATATCGTCTTACCCAAGGTCATTTAGGACATAACTATTGAAGAAATATATTCTAGTTTTACCTAATCAACAAGAGATTTTATAAAAATTGACCAGAGCCTTCAGTTCTACTCACGCTCCATTCAAAGGATCTAGAGGCCAAATGTCTGCCGGGCCACCTCTGTTCCTGGTGATGACCACTCCCTCCCCAGGGGATGTGCCACCAACGATGTAATAAACATCAGCAATAAGGGGAGTCTTGGCCAATTTATAAACAGATGCTTCAAAGTCTTCTGACTCACTCAGGGTCTAAATAGAAAGACAAGCATTGGCAACATCATCCGAGAGAATGGTCCACAACAACTGACAGACACATGGTCCAAAGAATTCTCTCCTGACATCCAAAGACATGGCTATGGAGCTGCTCTGACTTTATCCTCCTATCACTGGGCCTCCTAAGAGGGAAGAAACCTCAGCTTCAGTGGGGAGCCAACAGCAGTGGCACTTTCTCAAGAAAGGGTTGCACAGTTGACAAGTCCTAAACCTGGCTCAACAAACATAGCCAAAAGCTTTCAAGGAGATCACAACACAGAGGACTTTCATGTATCTCCACTCATTTATTCTTTCAACAGGGAACAAGAATTCTTGCATGAATTCCTCCTATGTGTGCAGTCAGCATAGGAGTGGGGTGAGAGCAATATGACTGACCTGGTCCTTGTTCTCCTCAAATGTCCAAGACAGAAAAGTCAACAAGCAATCGTGACACTGTGTAAGAAGTATTAGCCCTGGAAAAGGAAGTGACAGCAGGGGACCATGCTCACCAGTGAAGGGGGCATCTCAGGGCAATATAACAAGAGCTGCACCCAAAGAGCACACTGAAGTCAGACTGGTCAAGTGGCAGTCGCAGGAAAAGGAGTGGGGAGGGGAGCAAGTGCTGCCTAGACAGACTCAAGTGGCAAAGCCATGGGATGAAAAAGCACGTGTGACATTGTTGTGAAGAGCCTCCCGGGTGTTCTCACACCCCCAAGGAGCCTGAAGAGTCATCCAAAGGCTGGTGACATGGACAGTTAGGGGATTACTTTAAAAATCTTCAGCTTCCTGTGTGCTCTGTACCTGAGCTGATCTGCTCAAAGTCATTCTGTTGAAGAGGGCCAGCCCTTCCTACCTGTACCTGCATAGTCATTCTCCCACCACTCTAGGAGAGAGATGTATATTTTATGCTCCCCCGTCTTGAATACTGCCAAAGCTCACTGTCATGGGTGGGAGTGGGGACAGGTTCAAACAAAAGAACAATTCAAAATATCAGGGTCTGAAATGGCTCCCTTATTTAGAACACAAGCCCATGACAGGGCTTTGCAACATTTCCTTGCCTTCATCACATTAGGGTGAGATATTTTGACTTGAGTTGGTTTGTTCTGAGCTCAACAGGATGATACAGGGAGGTAGGAGGAGTGATGGGATATTTGATTATGCTGCCTCATCATTACCCAACTATCATTAAAGATTGAATCTCACAGAGGCAAAGACAGGGAAAGCAAGCCTGAGCTGTCTCAGGAAACAAGAAGGAAATGAGGAGTGACTGATAACAAGCAAGGGGTTTCTTTTTGGAGGAAAGAAAATGTTCTAAAATTGTGCTGTTGCCTGCCAACTCTGTGAACTGAAACTACCTAAAACTAAAAACACTAAAAATTAATGAGTTGTACATGCTAAGTAAGTGAGTTACATGGCATGTGAATTACACCTCATACATATCTCCTTATGGCCCACAATTCCACTCTTAAGTACTTACCCAGCTGAATTGAAATGGACACAGATGGTCACAAAAAGACTTGTATGAGAATTTCTACAGCAGCCTTACAATACTAGCTCCAGGGCGGGGGATTTAGCTCAGTGGTACTGTGCCTGCCTCACAGGTGCAAGGTCCTGAGCTCGATCCGCGGTACCAAAGAATAATAATAATAATAATAATAATAATAACAGCTCCAAACTGCAAACAACCTAGTGTCCATTGACGGGAAAAGGATAAATCATGGCATATTCATAGGCCTGAATGTTCCTCAGTTATAGAAACAAGCTAGTGATATGAAGAGTGTGACGGGCTGGAACACATTAGGCTGGATGAGAGGAAGAGTCCACATTCTGTTTTCATGAGTCTGAATTCAAGAACAAGCAAATCTTGTCTGTGGTGACAGATGACATCAAAGAGCAGGTATCTGGAGCAGAGAGTAGGCAGGAGTGGAATGGCACAGGGTGGGGACTGGTTTTAAACAAGCACTAGGGAAATTGCCAGGGACTTGGAAATGTTCTAAATCTTGTTTTCCTGATGGTTACTTGGCTAAGGGAGTGTGCATAACTGTCAAAACACATTGAAGAAAACCCTTAAGATCTGTGCATTTCACTGTATGTATGAATGGATGTATAAATTATACATAAAAATTTGAAAATCATCACAGTATTTATATTTTGGTGGATAATTGTAAATGGTTTATTTTAATGCTTTTTTTTTTGTTTTTGGCAGTACTAAGGATCAAACCCCCAGCCCCATGCATGGCGGGCAAGTGCTCTACAACTGAGCTACATCCTTAGCCTCTTATTTTTAAATGCCAACATCTGTGATACACTGGATATTTTGCAGGTTTTAATTTTCTGGTGAAAACTTTCAGAAGTGATCTTCAAAAAAAAAGAAGTGATCTTCAGAACATGAGATGGACGAAGCTTGTCAGTACATGTAGGGAGTGGCCAAACAAAGGGCTGAGGAGGAGCTCAGGGAGACAGGAGCCAGGTGAGTTAGAGCAGAGCAAGATGGCCACAAAGATGCAGGCTGGGCAGGGCCAGATCCTGGTCCAGATAGGTACTCCCAAAAGTGGGCTTTCCGTTCTTAGTTACAAGTGACATGTGGCCTGGAACCTGCTCATTTTAACAGGTTCATTCACTTATTTGTTCTGCTACTCTGCATATCTATAAATGGAGATTCTAGGACTACATATCTATATCCATAGAAAAACATAAAATTATCCCTTATCTCAAGAAAGTATTATGGAAACCTCTAGGCCACGACAAAGAGTCTCTCCTTGACCAAAGTAGCCAGGCTCCTCTGTATCTTCCTCTGCCTGCCTTAGCCTTGGGCCCTAAGGAGGAACAAATACTACCACTTTCTAGCAGCTCAGGGTCGCATTCCCAAAATGACCCTAACCTTCCTTCAAGTTCCTGTCTGGGAAAACTCAAGGCCATCAGAAGAATTTGTTGCTCCAGTCCACACCTAAAAACAGAGTCCCTGCTCCATCCTGGGTGGAAGGGTAGGAGCCCAACTTCAGTAAGGCCAGTTACAAAGTCCACATGGGTCATGTGGACCAACCTCTTCTTTCCTCTCATAACTGTCCACTCTCTGACTGTACTAAGTCTCCATTCATCCCCTCCCTACTCCCTCACTCTTCTCCCCACCCCAGCCCCATAGTGGGGACTGAAACCAACAGTGCTCTACCACCGAGCTACATACATGCCCAGCTTTTTAAAAATTTTTTTTAGCTGGACATAGTAGCACACACCTGTAATCCTAGCACTCAGGACGTTGAGACAGGAGGATCACCATGAGTTCAAGGCTAGCCTGGACTTCACAGTGAGTTCAGGGCCAGCCTGAACTACATAGTGAGACGCTGTCTCAAAAACAAAACAAAAAAAAGGTTTTTTTAATTTTGAGACAGGGTCTTGCTAAGTTACCCAGACAGGACCCTAACATGACCCTCCTGGCTCAGCCTCCCTCAGTACTGGGAATATAGTTGCGTGCCACTATGCCCACCTCCTCTCTCTTTCTTTATAATGCCCAGTCACCTCTGCACAAATCAAAACTGAGTTGAGTTCACAGTAGATTTTTATTCCAATTCCAATAATATATTTCTGATTAAAATCTATCCTTACCACTTTAGGTCTGGCTTTGACACATTATCAAAAGGTTTATATACACTTTGCAAACATTTAGATACTTATTCTTTTCAGGACCTTCTCACATTAAAAGCAATACATTACAGGACACAAAGCATGGTCACATGAGCATCCTGGAGTGGAAGACAAAGTCAGGGAGAGAATACTCACAGTGCGGATGAGCCAGCTGACAGGAGAGTGCCCCTGAAAAAGGGCCGCAATCACATTCTCCCACCACCAGCCTTTATCTGCCGAATTGAAGAAGGTACAGTAAGCTTGTTGTCCAAGCACACCTAAACATCTTTTCCTTAAATTTTGTTTTTCTCCCATATCATGGGCTGATGGAGAGGGATTTTACTAGTATCCAGTTTTCAAAGATTAAGCCTGAATTTCATGGCAACCATACAAACATCACATATATATGTGCACAAGTGTGTGTATATACTCAATAAAATATACACAATAAAGTTTTCAAAGAATCTTTTGTATCCTGATACAATGATTATTATGCTAAAATCATTCTTTTCAAAATTAAATTAGGTATCTTCCAAGAGAACTAGTTCAATAAATATTAGGAAAAATGTAGAAAACTAGTATCTTTATAATTTATACCCTTAAGACCTTTAAGTTTGATTTGTACATACATCTTTGGTTGTTGTTTTCTTTTTTAACTTTCTTTGGGCTCACATTTTTTATTTTTTTATTTATTTTTATTTTTATTTTTTTGGTACCAGGGATTGAACTCAGGTCCTTGCGTTTGTGCAACAGATGGTGAAATCATTGAGCTAAATCCCTGGCCCCTGGGCTCACATTTTTTAAAAACTACAAACCTTCAGTCATTCCCCACATTACTTTTCTTTTAAAAGTTTCTGGGCCAGGGATTTAGCTCAGCGGCACCGTGCCTGCCTCACAAGCATAAGGTCCTGAGCCGGATTCCCATATCAAAAAAAAAAATTTAGTGATTCTTAGCAGTAAAAACAATATTGAAGGAATAAAACACCAACCCATAGAATGGGAAAAAAACATTTGCAAATTACATATCTGATAAAGGATTGGTATCTAAAAATACATAGAGAATGCCTAAAATTCAACAACAACAAAAACCAAATTCAAAAATGGGGAAAGGACTTGAACAATTTTTTCTCCAAAGAAGATATACAAGTGGTCAATGAGCACATGAAAAGGTATACAACATCACTAATCGTTAGAGAAATACAAATGAGACATCACCTCATACTTACTGATTACTATAAAAAAAAATAAAATGTTGACAAAGATGTGGGGAAATTACAACACTTATACACTGTTGGGGAGATGTAAAATGGCATAGCCATGGTGGAAAACAGTATGGTGGTGCCTTGGAAAATTAAAAACAGAATTATCAAGTGATCTGGCAATTTCACTTCTATTTACATACCCCAAAGAATTGAAGACAGGGTCTTGCACAGACATTAGTATAGCCACATTTATAGCAGCTTTATCCACAATAGCTAAAACACAGAAGCAACCCAAATAGCTATCAAATGGATAAGCAAAACATGCTTTATACATACAATGGAATGTTATTTAGATGTGAAGGAAATTCTGACATACATAATATCACTGAATCTTGAGGACAGTATGTTAAGTGAAATAAGCCAGTCCTAAGATAAATACTGCATGATTCCCTTTTTTTTTAAAGAGTAATTTATGCTTTACTCCTATTGTGACTGATACATAAAAAACAATTCCAAATCTAAACCATACATACAGAAAACAAAGCTAAGCAATTATTTTCAGAAATAAGTCTTTGAATGTTTTATCATATTTGATAGCAGCTTTTTTTTTTATTGGTTACAAAACCTAAGCCCATATACAAAATTAGGAACACGTTTAGATGCCTCTTTTGAAAGAAGGTTTTAGTCATTTTCAAATGAGTTAAAAAAAAAATAAAAACAATGCAATTTTTAAACACTGTTTTGAAAACTTAAAAGTGCAGCAATATACTTAGTTTCCTTTATCTACGAAATGGTGCAATTCCAATTAAAAATTGATAAGGTCACAATAAATTGAATCAAGCAAATGCATACATATGTCTGCACTACTTGATGCTAATTTCACTTAAATGTTAGTTTGCATTAAAACGTAAGAGGAAATAGGAATCATCACAGTAGAGGTCCAATTTTAATCTGAATGTGTGCAAAATTTCAAAAGGTAACTGTCAGTTAAGTATGGAGAGTCTAGAAGAAATTAGAAAGGGGGACAATTCACAATATCAAGAAGATTTGGACTTTAAGGGTTTCACCGAAGTTTGTGACCTTAATTTGCTTTGTTATTCTTATTTTTAGTGAACACCACACAGTTGCAAATATCTAGACGGTAGTATCTGAACAGGATGCAGTTACCATATGAAGCTTTAACTCAAAATTTGGATAAAGAAAAAAGGCACAATGAACTTCAACTCAATTTTATGTGCACAAGAGTTGAAAAATCTGAGCCACCTTAAAGAGAAATTGATTCTAAAATTTATTAAAACCTATAAATAATCAGAGGCCAAACCACTATATTAAAACAGATTCTCTAGCAAGTAAAAATCTTGCAGTTTAAACATACACTTGTATCCACTTTAGATACAAGACAAAATTCACTCTTTAAAGTGGCTCCACCTTGGCAAATACATATACTTGTAATGAACGCACATCTTCTATGTGTTGTTTATCAGTGAAAACACCCCAGCTGATTAGTAAAGCTTTGATGGAATCTGTCTCATCTTCATCACAGTAAATACACCCCCATCGAATAACTAAATTAGTTTAGATTTTTCTATCCCTTCACATCAACACATTGGGAAATTATACCCAGTAAACAAGAGCAACAAATCCATTTCTGCAACAGTACAAATTATTCAGTTTAAAAATTTCAAATCCTTATTTGTTCATTAATATCTGGGTCAGACATTTACCAAAAGCATTGACTTGCCATAGTAATGCCAGAATTACTTAAAAGATCACTGCAAATCAGGTTTTGTCAAATTACCACAGATTATACCTCTACACAGATCCCTGTTTTGAATCTTTTTTTGCGGGGGGGGGGGGGTCTTTTAATATGTGCCAATGCTTTTAGAGTAGGATCTGAAGTAACTTTCCCAATACTCAATGAAGTCTTACAACTCTTCTAAATAACTGCTGGTTTGTTGCCAACCACATTATCAAAAGCACTGGTTACTAGCAAAAAATATTTTAAGACTAAATTACAGTAAACATGAAAGCTCCACAGTTTAAACCCAATATAAATCAACCATATCCAATTATCAAATTAAAACAAAAAATATTAACTCCTGAAAGCTGAAAGCAAGACTTTTAACATCACCAATGAGTATTTTAGATCTTTGCAGTTTTTGTTTGCTTTTTAAAACTACTTTTGGCTTTTTTGTTTTTGCGTTTCCTTTGTAGTCAGGGACTCTTGCTTTCAACTGAAACAGAAGTTCAAGTCTGTAACAGGTTGCAGCTCAGGTAAAATACCATCCACAGCATTTGATTACTTCAAAACAGCAGGAACACACAGGCTGAAATGAGTGGTCAAATAGGGCTTGCTGTTCTTAAAAATTATGTATAACGGTGAAAGCATTACCATCCATATCTAAAGTTCTTCCTCCAACCCTGGCTTCTGAGGCAGATAATAAACACATCAATTACTGGTATATGAAGTACACAGTTTTGTTTTGTTTTTTAAACTTATCTGTTTAATCAATAACCAAGTTTCTGTTTTTAAGTTACTTTTTTGTGTGCCAGTTCCACCAATGAAAATCACTTGGCTTGTACTTTAAAATCTATTCTTCCAAATAAAGAGTATGAAAATATGTTTGTGGAGGACAATGGTGGAGGCTCAGATCATACTGCACCTCCTTAGTCTTCCAATGTGAAGATGCATCATACCAAAGTGTCTTGATCCACAACGCAACATTTTCCAAAGGAATATCAGTGAGCAGCTGACACGCCATCAGTATGGAATATTCTAAACTGGAGACTGCAGTTGTCAGCATGTGGCACCAAGGAATGGAAAAACAGGGTAGTTGAGACTGTTAAGGAGAATTCTAAAACACTTTAAGAAATCATGCATATGCATTTAGAGTCCATGTGAAAGTGACTTTTGGCAATTGCAAAGTGACTGAGACATGGCTTGCTTAGAAGCATCAAAACGAAGAGGCATGTATGTTTTGGAGCCTTTTGTTGCTGTTGTTTTCTTATCATTTGGGAGCCATCTGGTGGTGCTTCATATTGAATGTGAAGAAGATGCTGGACTCAATTAACCTTAAAAATTAAATTCTTTTGTTTGAAGGTTGGCTGTTGGGTCAAAATTGTAAGTACCTCCTTGTGTTGCTTCAGGAATGAGGCTAGGATCTTCATCAATATCTTCACCAGAGAAATATTGATCTATGATTTCAAATGCTAATTTATATATATCTTCATTTTCATGTTGCTGCAAAACTTCAATTTTCTCCAAACCTCCACATTCTTCTATTATTTCAGCTATTGTGCTTGCTTCATCACCAGCCATTATCAGAATATTTTTTAGACCATCTAGAACCACCTGAACCACTTGAGAATCTTTTACTGACAGTAAATTACAAAATGGTGGTATCACATTCTGTTGTACAAGGTACTCAACCTGATCTTTTCTGCCACTTATTGTTAAATTGCTAATTGCCCAAGCTTCTTTTTGTGTTCCAAAGTCTCCCTTAGCAAGCTGATGAATAATCATAGGGATTAATCCAGCATCTATTACAGCTTGAACTTGTTGCTGGTTGCCTGCTGTTATGTTGGAAAGGAACCATAACTGCTTCGTTATTTATCTTCTCTTTTGGGTGTTATAAAAGATTTGGGAAATGAAAATTGTTTCATGGATATAGAGTTGTTTTAATTTATGTCTGTATGATATATGAGGATACATAAAGCTGGCAAAATCTCCTGAACTGTCTCCATAGGCGGTGGGGGGTCCTTATTCCTGCAGAGATTTACAATGACCCATGTGACGTTCCAAAGGAAGGTGATGGGAATGGAGGAATTGAAGAAGGACAGAAGAGGTGTGACAACTCCCAGTGATATGACATAATCTCTACATTGAGGACCATCACCTATAATGTTTCCCAAAGCCCATACTGCTTGCTCACAAACATTCTGATGTGGTGAATGAAGTCTCACAAAAAGAGGTACTGCATTGGACTGTACAACAGCTTGAGTCTGTGCAGAAGTTCCTGGTGCTATATTGGTTAATGCCCAAGCAGCTTCAAACTGTAATGAAGGATTATCATCCCTTTCTAAACATTTGACTAGAATTGGTAAAATCCCAGATTTTATTAGGTCATCAATCGGTGGGTTTCTGTCACTGGATAACAGCTTTCTTGCTGCCTGGACAGCACTCAACTGGACCACTGGGTTATCACTTGTGGCATTCTGCAATACAGTTTCTAGTGTTACATTTTGTGCTTTAAAATCAGCATCAACATCAGAATCTTCTAAACTTTCTTCTTGGGGAACATTTCTCTTTTTCAGTAAGTGTTCATCTCTTTTGTTCTTTCGTAATTCAACTGTCACTTCATTTCTGTGTCTTCACATTGTTTCTACGTCGCGGCCCTTGTTCTTGAAGCTCTTGATGCGGTGGTTCTCCAAGCCGGGGTTCTCAGCCATGGCTGCGCGAGGCTCCTGCGGTGCCTACTCCAGCGACCGAGGCGGCTGCTTCGAGACTCGGCGGCGCAGGAGGGGGAAGAGGGAGAAGTCAGGAGGGGGGGAAGGGAGGGGGAGGGAGTGCACGTTCCGTGACCCCTCTGAGTGCTAGAGGTGGCAGCAGCGCTGGGGTGGGCCCGCTGGGGTGGGCCCGCTGGGGTGGGGGCGGGCAGACTGCCGGCCGGCCGGGCAGAACAGGTCCGACGTGGCGGAATGGCTCTGAGGAGCTGCGTGCGCTTGTCGGGAGCAAGCAGCCCAGACGCTCCCCTGACTGGTTCGCTCCCCTGACTGGTTCTCGGGATAACGGTCCTCTACTCCTCAGGAGGGCCTCACGTCCGTCCGGTGCCAGAAGTGAAACCGGACTCGGCAGCTTTTACCGCCCCGCAGGCTCCGGGCGGTTGACACCAACCAACTACATTTCCTAGCATGCCTGGCTCCGGCCAGAGTCATGATTCCCTTTATTTTAGGTACTTAGGAGTAGTTTTTAAAATCACAGAAACAGACAGTAGAAAACTGGTCCCAGGGACGGAGGGAAGGGGAAATGAAAATTGTTTCATGGATATAGAGTTGTTTCAATTTTTAATGAAGAGTTACGGAGGGCAGAGATTTAGCTCAGTGGTGCAGATGCCTGCCTCGCAAGCTCAAGGTCCTGAGTTCAATCCCCGATACCACACACACACACATAAACAAAGTTATGGAGGTAGGTGGTGATAATGGATATAAAACATTATAAATGTATTTAGTACCATTGAACTGTACATTCAAAAATAGTTAAGATGGTAAACTCTGTCACATGTATTTTACCATAAAAATTTTAAGAAAACAGCTTAAATTGGAAAAAAAACTGACTTGGCCCAGATCCTTGGTATTTAACAGAAACAAAAGAAACTAGTATAGCATTAAATAAGCAATGTTTTCATACCTGTAATAAAGAAAATAAAATCTTGTAATTGTGAGTGATGAGGGAAGTCTCCTTTGGGGAGAAGCATTTTAGACAGCCTCTCTGTCAATATTTGAGCCACAATGGGCAGAGCATTCTAGATAGAAAGCACAGGTGGTAGGCAGGTGGCAGGAGAGGAAATGCAGGGAGGTGCTCAAGGAGCAAGAAGTGGGTGGGAGAGGGAGATGCAAAGTGAAGTGCAGGAGGCCACCAAGCAGGGTCCTGAGGCCAGAGCCAGGACTCCATGCTTGCTCTACATGAAATGAGAAGTCACCATAGGGTTTTTTTTGGGGGGGGTCACATTCTTTAAGTTTTGTTTTTAATTGACAAATAATTGTATATATTTAGAGGATACAAAGTGACATTCAACACCTGTCCTGTGTACATTGTGGAATGAACAAGTTAGACCATGTATCCATTGTCTCACATACCATATTTTTTTGTAGTGAGAACATTTAAAATCCCTTCCATTAGCAATTTCAAAATATACTTGATTAGTAACCATGATGTGACTAGGGATCACCAGAATTCAGTCTTCCTGTCTACTCGAGACTCTGTATCCTCTGAACATTTCTTTTCTGCACCCTTTCCACTCCTTACCCTCCAGTAACCACTGTTCTATATTCTTCTGAGTTCAAAGTTTTAGATTCTGCACATAAGTGAAGCCCTATGTTATTTGAGTCCCGGGGCGGGGGGGGGGGGGGGGTCAGACAAGGTGACCACCTGACCGTTCCAGCTGCTGGGTAGAGAAGGAACTGCAGAAGGTGAGCACAGAGCCAAGGAGGCAGGTGGCCAGCCAGGCAGGGGAGTTGGAAAGAATGGCCGAGTATAGTCTAGCTTGGGTGGCACAGCTGACCACACTGAGCGGCTAAGCGGTCAAAGATGACTTCGAGAACAATCGGCTGGGCAGAGGAGTCATTTCCCGAGACATGCAGAGTGAAGAAAATAGATCTGGGTAAAGGCAGAGTGGGGCCAGAACAGAGGAAATTAAGAAAGCAAGAGACCTGCTGAGGCCCAGCAGACATCCATGGGGAGGTGCTGGGAGGTGGGTGGGGATTCCAACTGGGGCTCAGAGGAAGTCCCACCTGGAGATGCGACAGGAGCAAAGAAACTGCCTTGAGTAGTTAAATATATTAACTCCCTCTGTGTGTGTGTGTGTGTGTGTGTGTGTGTGTGTGTGTGTGTGTGTAGTGCTGGGGATGGAGCCCAGGGCCTTCCCACTGAGCTACAGCCCCAGCTCTTTTTAAAATTTATTTTGAGACCAAGTTTCACTGAGTCACTAAGCTGACAAGGCTGTGTTTGAATTTGCAATTCTCCTGCCTCAGCCTCGACTGATACTGAGATTACAGGTGTGCACCCCCACATCCAGCTACATTAACTCATTTCACCCTTAAAGCAGCTTTTCAGAAGAGGAAACTGAAGCACAGCTAGGTGAGCCCCTATAGCTTCCATTATGTTTAAAATGCAAACCCTTCAACATGGCCCTGTTCCATGTCCTCAGCATACTCTCCACCTCTAACATCATCACCCCTCACTTCCGGCTGTCATCACAAGAACCTGGTTTTGTTTCTAGAATCCAGAGGTCTTCCTGCCTCTGGCTTCCACCTGTGGTGTAAGTCCATCAGCAATGGCCAGCTGCACCCTCTGCAGAGCTGCTGCAGGGAATCCCTGGGAGAGGCCTTTCCTGACCCCTCCCACATGCCCCGTCAGGCTTTGGCAGGATTTCACGATGGACTGCTACTACCTACTCCTTCCTGCCTCCCTCACCAGGACGGAGCCTCTGTCCCATGGCAGTGCCTGTGCATGGGTTCTGTCGGCCAAGGGAAGGAGATACAGGGACAGAAGTGAACAGGGCTGGGGTTGCATGGAGCTCAGGAGGGCTTTCTCCTTTACCTCGCTCGTCGCCGGACACTGTGAACTTGTTTGGGCTCTGGCCAGTCCATAATCCCACGTAGCCAATAAAAGTGGTTCCCGTGAATGCAATCTGAAACCAAGAGAGGTGTCATTTCACGGTGCCAGCAAAGATGGAGTGAAATCACCTGCTTTTGTCCCACGATTTCCTGGATTGTTTTTCTTCTAAGTTCTGATAATAATGATGATAATAATAACAATAATGACGATGATGACAATGATCTCTGAAATAACCTTCTCAAATACAAGTGCTTAATCTTAGAAGTCCCTGGGTAGAATCCAGTGGAATAAACTGGATGGGAAAAAAGGTTATGTCTTTATTTTCACCAAACTCCACCTGAAATTAAACTCCTTCTGTAGTCAATGCCTATAATAAATCATGCCCTAATAATCATCTCTGTTGATCCTGTCACCAATAGGGACCTCAGGCATTTTCACATGCTGAGTGGTGGTTGCAGATAACTGGAGACACCACCTCCCAGTTGTCACGCCTCTGAAATCACAGTACGTAGTCTCTCATTGCTATATCTAAAAAAGTGTGCTATTAAAAAAATTATAATATTAAAATGGACATATTTCAACATAAATTTTTTCTCCATAATCCAATATATTTCATTTTATGTACTTTAAAACATTATTCACCAAAGGGCTCATGCCCAGAGAAATCCTATCCTGGAAATAGCAGGTGGAGTCTGATTTTAAAACTTGTTTTGGGGCTGGGGATGCAGCTCAGTAGTGGAGCACTTGCCTAGCATGCTGGTGGTCCTAGGTTCAATCCCCAGTAAAACAAAAAATTAAATAGTTATTTTGACTTGATTATAAGAGATAAATATCATACATTTTATAAGTGGGACTGCTCATCAATAATAGTCACACTGAAATTTTAAATATTTAAAAAGTCATTTTACATAAGTCTTTCATTTAACCCTACAATCACCCCATGAGTGAGAGGGATCACCTCCACTTTAAATTACAGTGGTACCTCAGTTCATGAATGCTTTTGTTTGCAAACAATCTGGCTTGCAAAAAACTCTACATCAGGTAACCAACGTGACCTCAGCCATCTTTCACACCCAAACACAAATGTGGCCATCTTTTCCAAAATCATAGAACAAATTAAATTCGTGAACCAAGGTACCACTGAACTGTAATAAACTCTGATTGAAAGAAACCCCTATATTACCCCAGGAGAAAAACCAAACTCTGGCAATTCTTTCAATACCACATTTTATTTTTCAAGGAAATGCTTAGAACAATTCACAGGGCATCTTATTTAAAAGTTCACTAATGTGTTTATATATTAAGAAATGAATTAGGCCTAGGTAAATATTTTTCCTTAGAAAACTTAATCTTCAGTCAGTAACCTCTCTTTCTTGAATTACGTATCTTACCTCATCTGGTTGTGAAAATAATTTAAGGTGATTAAATCACAAAGGTGAAGCCAATAGCCTTAGTTTTCTAAATGCTTCCCATCTCCATTCACAGCAGTAAAATGATAGGTCCTCCTTGCTACAGAGCCCTTTTAAAATGTTAATTCCATGAGGAAAAAAAGAAGTAATTCTAGGGTCACCTAATTTGCAGACACACTGGCCCCTATGCTAGTGTTACTTCTAGAGGGCTGAGAGAATTAAAGTCATGAAAATCAAAATCACAGTGTAGTTTCCAATTATAATACATAATTATCAGACACAGTTGTAAGATATTTTATCTTGCAGCTTTGTAAATCTGTATTTCTAAATGTTAGGAGATCTCCTTATCTCTGCCATGTCAGTTAAAATACACAATCCTTAGCAAGGGACTAATTTACAATATAACTAAGGGTGAGATTTGGACAATAAAAAAAAACCAAAGCTATTTGAAGGCTGAAGGCCTGGGTTCCGCCCCACCTCGCCAGGTCCCCAGCTGTGACCAGGGCAAGTGAGTCTCTGGAAGGCCTCTCATGGAGACAAAAAAACTGAAAATGTTGGCTTGTGCCTGCCTCACAGGGCTGCGGGCAGGGCTAAATAAGGTCCTATATAGAAAAAAATACTTTTAAAATGATGAACACTAGACAAGAACAAGAGATGAAGTATTTTGTGGAGAGCCTGCTCTCAATTCAGCGAAACAATTTATTGGCCCTGGTCCTCGGTAAACCAACCAGGTTTGCCAATAACAACCTGAGCAGAAGGAGCCCCGCATGGACTGCTTCTCATGGGGCATCAGGACAGACGCGACAATGGAGACGACAACTGCCACAGTGAGTCTGAGAGAGAAGAGTTGGAATGGCTTATTTTTATTGCAATTATTCCTTTGTCTATTTATGAGAATATTTCCTTACTGTAGAATAATGGAGAAAAAGATAAAGTAGTAGAATAATTATATCATCACTCACTAATAATTTAATATTTTAGTAAATTTTCTTTAAGAATTTACTATACATTTATACTATCACTTATCTTACCACTTAACATTGTCTTCCAAATAAACCTTTGATAGGTATATCAAATTAATAGTAGCAAAGTGGGGCCAGGGATTTAGCTCAGTGGTGCTGTTGCCTGCCTTGCAAGTGCAAGGTCCTGAGTTCAATCCTCAGTACCATAAAAAAAAAAAAAGGTAGCAAAGTAAAGGGAAAAGAGAAACTTTCACTCAAAATATTTCTGTATTGCTTTAATTTTTATGAGAATAAGTTTATCTTTGTAAAAGCTTATAACTAAATGAGTATTTTGTAAACAAGTTTTTATTTTTTAATGTTTGTTTATTTTTTTGAGATAGGGTCTCAATATGTTTATAGTGGGCTATTGTGTAGTCCAGGCTGACCTCAAACTCATGGTGATCCTCCTGCCTCAGCCTCCTAAGTGCTGGGATCACAGGCTTGTACAACCACACAACAAGTTTTTAGGATTACTGAATCAAGCCCCAACTCCAAAGCTTCTTAAAGCTAAAAATTTGTCTTCTGCATATCATGTTCTGTTTCATAGCAATAACAAGTTTTACTTGTGTATTCAACGAATATGGATTCATGCTGTCTCTCCAGAAGCTCTTATTAGTCCTGTGACAGCACTAAATATTAGATGATACTTTCAGAGACCGTGCAGAAAACAAACTAACCTAAGACTAATTTTTTAAAGCCCTTACACGAGAGCGGTGTGGGTCAATCATACTTGTAGAAGGAAGGTTTAATATGTGGCCTCTATTTATCAAGCACCTACCCCATGCTTTGCATACATGATTGCATTTAACGTATGGCAACAATGTGGTTATGAATCTCTCTGTGCTTACTCTACAGGAACAGGCAGCTATCATTCTCCAGGTTCATAACGGAAGGGACAAAAGCAGGATTCAAAGCCAGAACTGAGACCCAAAGCTGCCACTGCAGTCCTTGGGCCTCGCTGTTCCAGAAGCAGCCTGAACACAGGAAAGCAGAGGAAGGAGCTGATTGCACACAATAGGTGAAGACCCATCAGGCCCCAGAAGAGATTTCCCTAAGGAACACTGGTTGACCTCAAGTCGATGCTGAGTAACAATAAATGACCCTTCACCCTATAAGAATAATTGATGTACATCTCTCCCCTAGTTTGTTTTTGTATCTTATAGTGATAACGGATTTACTGTATGTCCCCTAAAATATGACCTAACTGGAAAATAAGCTCTAGCATGATTTTTCGTGGTACTCATGATGTAAGCACTACTCCCAAAATAAGCCCCAGTTAAGATCCTCACCCAGACAGATGCATTTAGTATCCCCACTGCAACACATGATGGACACAATGAATTGTAAAATAATAATATTAATATAAAATTAAACATAAGTAATATTATTGACATTAGTACTTACAATATATGATAATGTAAATTATAATTAAGTGTAAATACCCAAGCGGGAGCCTTTGGACAAGAGGTGAACATGTACGTAAACAGATGAACTCGAGACTTTTTGCTGAGTGACTAGAGTATATACACAACACACAAATAGCGCAGATACCTGATAACAAATGGATGCGGTTATGTCTAACATGTATCTTCATAACTCAATATGTCAGGTGTTGTAACCAACATACTTAATATACTGCTGTGCAAAAAGGAAACATTTTCTGAATTTTGGTGCCTGCATTTTTTTCATCACATTTTTTTTTTTAAAGTAGCAAAATTGGGCTGGGGATTTAGCTCAGTGGTTCTACTGCCTGCTCCACAAGCACAAGGACCCAAGTTTGATCCCCGGTACCAAAAAAATAAATACATAAATAAAGTAGCAAAGTTTTATGAAAGGTAGGAAAAGAAACTGGCTTTGCAGAGTAAGTCTGGGCCACATAAAAGTATGAAAAGAAGCACACACTACAGCAAAAGGGAAGGCCACCATGCAAGACTGAACACAGTGGCTTGGATAGTCATTCCTGTCACCATTTTTGTTGCCACTCATGTCTGGCAAGTCCTCAATTAACACTCAGTGTAATGGAAACTTTGTGAAGCTTAGCCTGCAAGAGGTCGTGACTTGGGTGAAGAATTCATGGAATAAAATCACTGACAGGTGTGTTGCCAATGCACTACAAGCAGGCTACATGGACAAGAAGTGCTTGTTTAAGGAGAGCTCTATTGCTGGACATGAGAGATAGGGGCCAATGGTCCTACAGGAAGTGGAGTTCCAAGAAATTCAGGCCAGAATAATAATGGAAATTTATAATAATGTAGATTTATAATAAATGCAGATGAGCAAATGTAGATTTTGTACCTAAGTGAATGAATGTAGATTGTTGTATGTGAAAAAAAAAATGAGACACCCACTGAAAATAAGCCCTATCGCATCTTTTGGAGCAAAAATTCACTTAAAAGCCAGTCTTCTTTTCAGGAAAATACAGTAAGTTAGCTAGCTATTTAAATGACTGCTGATGTGGTCTAGAAAAGGCCTTCGGATTGTGTATCTTATGTGGTACAGACCATACCTGCCCATTCTTTAAGAACTGCACATCCACTGTCAGCTTGCGTAAGAGATCTCCAAAGGGGTAGTCCAGATTCCGACCATGGTAAATGTGGCCCCTTGTGTCTTGGGCCACAATGCTAGTGCAGAACCTGAGAAGGAGAGAAGCCCACCATAAATGAGGAAACAATAACAAGGAAAATGGGTTTTTCATTTTTAAAACAAAAATACCTCAAAGTTACCAGATATTTTTTCTTAGTTGACATATATACTATAATTCTTATACAAAACTATGGATTCAGAATTCAAGCTGAAAAGTACACTGGACACAACTCATTTGCTCATTCAGGATTGCGAGACCTAAGCCCTGGCCACACAGATGGCACAACAAACATAATACATGAGAATTTCATTTTCAGTTACTTTCTTTTTCTAAACAGAGACTCGCTATATAGCCCTGGCCTCAAACTTGTGATCCTCCTGCCTCAGCCTCTAGACTGTTGGGATGACAAGCATGCACTACATTCCTGGCTTTCAACCACTTCCTTGAGAAACTGATGCTGGTCTCAGCTAGACTGCTGACCTCTGCTCATCCCTCTGCTTGGCAGTACATATCTACATTCCACCTAAAACTTTACTCAAACGTAGGTTGGCCTATCTCCCCACAAGAATTTCACTGACCATGTTCAATGGCATTAAATCATTCATTTACACAATGCTTCATTTTGTTCCCTTGGGAAGATGGTCAGATCTTTAGGGGCTCAGTACTAGTCCTGTCCCTCTCAAAGCTCCTTGCATGCAGGTAGTAAGAGAAAAGGATTGCTAAAGAACTGACTCAGCTGGGCATGGTGGTACATAAGTGTAATCCCAGCACATAAAGTGTAGTTTGTATTATTCTGACTGAAACAGCCTTCCTTCCAAAATGAGAAATAAGCATTGTCTTTGTGCAGGGGAGGGGACCACACACCTATAATCTCAGCACTCTAGAGGGTGAGACAGGAGGATCCCAAATTCAAACCCAGCCTGAACAACTTAGCAACTCAGGGAGAGCCTGTCTCATTTCTGAGTCACAGGATTGTGATGAGTTTCTTCTTTATACTTTTCTCTACTGCTGATTTTCTGCAATGGTTACGTATCACTTTTATAATTTGGAGACAAAGTGTTACTTTTTTTGTTGTTTTTTTCGTTTGTTTAAAGAAGGAAGCTTAGTTGGCTTTTAATTCCTTCTAAGGTTTCTTATCTTCAAAGGGCTCATGTCAGGGAGGGGACTGACACACATGGGAAGGGACTCAAGCAGTTTGCAGAGTCACTCAGGAAGGTAGTGTTTCAAACCTGACCAGACCCCATCTTTCCATCTCACGCCCAAATGCTGCAGCATGACACAGTGCACAACACAGGACAGTGAGGACACGGGTCCTGCTGTGGGAAAGGCGCACAGGGCACTGGAGACTTGTGTGCTCTTCAGCAGCACCTCTGGAACTCACCAGCCAGGAGACTGCCAGCAAGTTGTCTCCTCTGAGGTTTGATTTCCACATCACAAAACAGAAGATAGTATCTTCCCCCTGGGGCTGTGTTCACAAAGTGAAAGTGGAACCCAGTATACTAAATAAATTGTAGCTCGTAGTATTCTGACTCAAACAGCCTTCCTTCCAGAATGAGAGCTAAGCGTTGCCTTTGTGCAGGGCATGGTGCCACATACCTACAATCTCAGCACTCTGGAGGCTGAGGCAGGAAAACTGTGAGTTTGAGGCCAGCCTGGGCTATACAGTGAGACCCTGTCTCAAAAACACAAGCCAAGAAACCTCCAAAACAAAACAAACAAAAACCATTTCCTTTCTTAATGCTAGTGAAATCTGATGGTGTTTTATTATTAGACAATTTAATAAATACCTTAATCTGAGATCCTAAAGTTAGATTTTTTACTAGAATTTTTGCTTTAATCTGCTTGAACAGTGACTCCAAAGGAGAACGAAAATGATTTGTCATTTTTAATTGAGAAAGGCACAGATCAGAATAGGACAGTTAACTTAATTCAACTGAAAAGCACTTTAATTTACTAGGACTGTGTCTTTCATGTGTATGAAAGAGGAAGACAGTCATGGCGCTTCCTAACTTACTTTCCTTGTGTTCTGGGAAGATGCCAGAGGCAGTAGTGTAATTTTTATTTTCCCAAGAGCTTCCCCTTCTTCCTCTTTAAGCAGCCTGAAGATGGGAAGATCTGCCAGGTGTTACTACAGGAGGCGGCAGAACAGTAAGTGCTCAGGGCAGAAGCCAAGTCACACCTCCCTTAATAACAGGACCTGGGGCCGGGTCCACAGTGGTTCCACATGCAGCCTGCTTTGCAAGCGCAAGGTCCTGAGTTCGATCCCCGATACAAGAAAGGAAGGAAGGAAGAAAAGAGAGAGAGAGAGAGAGACAGACAGACAGAAAGAAAGAAACAGAAAGAAGGAAGAGGAAAGAAAGAAAAGAAAGAAAGAAAGAAAGAAAGAAAGAAAGAAAGAAAGAAAGAAAGAAAGAAAGAAAGAAAGAAAGAAAGGAGGGAGGGAGGGAGAGAGGCAGGGAAGAAAGAAAGGAAGAACGAACGAACAGAGCCTGTTAGGAGCCTAGAAACACCCTGCACTATGCTGGGACCAGCTGCACTCCCCATCTTGCTCTGGCTTTGGGTGCCCACTAGGCAGACCAAACTGGTCTTGTTGGAGCAGAGCCCTCTGTGAGCCCAGCCTTGGTGAAAGCTGACCCTGCAAGTGTGGTCAGGACAAAGGGAAAGGATAAATCCAGTGGGATAAGGGGAGCAGCATGGCCTGGTGTAGGTAACAGCCAGGGGGTCACCGGAGGGTCCATGAGATAAAGCTACCTCCAAATACCTCTGGAATAGTACATTTTAAACAGATTGGAAGTGGAGTGCTATTTGTGGAGTGGAGAGAGGGCAGGGGCTTGGGGCAGAGGAAAACTGCTTTCTTTCTGGAAGCCCTGGACCTGCTGCTCAGATTTCCCAGAGAGCGAAGTAAGGAGGAGGTCACTCCCTTGGTTTTATGGCACTGAGAACACATCTCCTCCCTCTCGGCAGATCCCGAGGCCATGCCCGCACCCTGGTACTCACGCAGAGGATTCGTAGGCCAGGTTGACTAGGAAGCCCTCAGCTAGGCTGAGGTTCAGGAAGTCGCTCATGCCGCGAATCTCCTCCGTGAAAGGCTGAGGCAGGAAGCTCTCCATTTCTGCCACCAGCTTTCCGATCACCCCGAGGACCCACCTGGGGACTCTGTCGCTGGAAAGGAAAGCACCAGAGTGTGTGTCCCGCTCAGGGCACCAATGGGAGCGGGTGTGTGTTAAATGCCTCCGTCAGTGACGTCTGGGAGCCAAAGGCAAAGTCCCAGAGGCTGAACCCAAAAGGGTAGTTGTTGGGGACGCCGGAGGCCCGCAGGGGTGCTCAGGTTGCCTCCCAAGGACCACGACAGGGTGCACCCGGGAGTCCCGGACCCGAGAGCCTGGCCACAGGGTGCGCCCTGCAGACCACGCAGCTCACCCCACGATCCGCGCCATCGCGGCGCGCACCAGGCCTGGGTCAAAGAGACGCAGCACTGGCAGCCAGCGCACCTCGGGCGCCGCATCCAGGCTCACGTTGACGCGCGCCGGCCCGGGGAACCGGTCCGAGGGTCGCGACGCGGCCCCGACCAGCAGCAGGAGCAACGGCAGGAGCCCAGGCGCCCGCATAGCTGAGCGCCCTCACTTCAACCCGCTGGCGGCGCGAGGAGAGGATTCTGCGGGGGAGGCTAGGCGTGGCGGAGGCGGGGTCTGTGAGGGGCGGCACAGAGCCTGCGGGGGCGGGGCAGGCCGGGGGGCGGGACCTATGCGCAGGCGGGACGGGGCTGCCAGCCCGCGCGGAGCTAGCGCGAAGCAGAGGAGGTGGGAGG